TCTGCTTGATGTTCCATGCGTTGATGAAGACCTTGCTGTCGATGGTCTTGAGCTTGTAGGTGCCGGGTCAGAACACTTCTACGACGACGTATGGTCCCTCCTACGGTGGAGAGAGCTTGTGATGGTTTTTGTTGCTCTGGACGAGGTGAAGTACCAAGTCCCCGACGTTGAAGGCCCGACCCTACACCCAATGGTTGTGGCACCAGCGCAATGCCTGCTGGTACTTAGCCAAGCGAAGGAGGGGAACGTCGCGCGCCTCATCGAGCTGATCCATGGCATCCTTGAGGGACGCCTTGGCTCCCTGCTCGTTGTATACCCTGACCCTCGGTGCTCCATAGTCGAGGTCGGTCAGGAGGATAGCCTCAGAACCATAGACCACGAAGAAGGGTGTGTAGCCGGTGGCCCGGCTGGGGGTCGTCCTCAAGCTCCAGAGCACCGTGGGGAGCTCCGCGACCCATTGTCTGCCAAACTTGTTCAACCGGTTGAAGATCCTAGGCTTGAGGCCTTGTAGGACCATGCCGTTCGTGTGCTCAACCTGCCCGTTCATGTGAGGGTGCGCCATGGTGGCCCAATCGACGTGGATGTGGTATTCATCATAGTATCAGAGAAACTTTTTCCTGGTGAACTGCGTGCTATTGTCCATGATAAAGGAGTTTGGGACTCCAAAGTGATGGACGATGTCAAGGAAGAACAGCACGGCTAGCTTGGACTTGATCACATAGATCGGCCGAGCCTCTATCCACTTTGTAAACTTGTCTACGACGACAAGCAAGTGTGTATAGCCCCCGAGTGCTCTCTTGAGAGGTCCGACCATATCGAGCCCCCGACCGCAAACAACCACGTGATGGGGATCGTTTAGAGTGCTTAGGCTGGCAGGTGGGTCTGCCGAGCGTAGTATTGACACCCTTCGCAGGTGCGCATAATCTGTTCAGTGTCGGCTACTGCGGTCGGCCAGTAGAAGCCCTATCGAAACGCATTTCCGATCAGGGTCCTATATGCAGCATGGTGCCCGTAGACCCCACCGTGGATATCTCTCAGCAACTGCTTCCCTTGTTGGAGCCACCGGACAGGAACCGCTTTCATGAGGGCGCAGTCTTTGTATAGGTGCTTGACGGGAAAGGTATGGTTCGGGCATGGCCCTTCGAGCAGCTTCTCAAAGTGGCCATGAGCGAGCCCTCACACCGCTGCTTGTTCTTCTTCTTGTTGGGGCGGTTGGAGGCACCTTCGCCAGCATCCTCGTCCCACTTCACCTTGCCCTTGGGACAGTCGAAAATCACTCTGATCACCTCCTTGCCCGAGGCATGGCTGGTGGCGATGTCGAGGAGCTCCTTGGTGGTTCATGGGCCCTTGCATCCCAGCTTGTGAACCAGGGGCTCACAGGTGGTCCCGGACAGGAAGGCTCCTATAACGTCGGCGTCGGGGATGTCGGGCAGCTCGTTGCACTACGGGGAGAAGCGCCGGATGTACTCATGAAGAGTTTCCCTGGACTTTTGATGGCAGTTTTTGAGATCCCACGGGTTCCTAGGGCGTGTAGGTGCCCTGAAAGTTTTCCACGAAAATCTCCTTTAGGTCCGCCCAACTTTGAGTCCAGTTGGGCGAAAGGTGCTCCAACCATGTTCGTGCCGAATCGGACAAGAACAATGGGAGGTTGCAGATAATAAAACTGTTACTATTCACTCCACTGGCTTAGCAAGCAAGCTGGTAATCCTCGAGCCACAATCCGGCATCCGTTTCCCCAGAGTATTTCGGGGTGTTGGTCAGCGGTCAGTACCGCAGTGGGAAGGCGGCGTTGAGGATGTGTCGGCTGAAGGCCTGAGGTCCCGGTAGGTCGAGGCTCGGGCTCCGGTCCTCGCCACTGTCGTAGCGTCCATCGCGACGAGGGTGGTAGCCATGGTGGTTTTCTCTCTCTCATCGCTTCGTCCATGCCTATGGGCATCCAGGGTGTTACGTGCATCACGGTAGAGGCCAAGACGCTCATTCACCGGGGCGCGGCACGCCCCCAACCGCCACGTGGCGCCTAGAGGGCAGTCACGTCCCTAACATGTCATCCTAAGGGCGCGCGCTGACTGGCGTTGAGCTCACGTTGCCGAGATAGGGAGCTCTCTGTCTGCTGCACGGCCGCTCGAACAGCGTGCGGATCTCGCGATGGGCCCGGCGATCCTTGGGTGTCGCTGGCTCCGGGAGCCCATGAAGCAAGGCTACAGCGGCAACGATGTTCTGGCTTGTCCGGACGAAGTGTGGGAGGGCTCCATCGTCTTCGATGATCCTCTGGTTCACGTCGTGGGCCATGGCGTGCGCACGCCCACCGTCTCCGCGGCGCTCGAGCTCTGCGAGCTCCTGCTCGAGTTGGAGTCGTGCATCCTCAAGCTCCTGGTGCCGCGCCCTTAGCTATTCCACCCACATGCAAGGAAGGGCCCCTGCATCTTCCTCGACCTCGTTGTTGAGGTCACTTGGTGGGGTAGCCCTCCCTCGTGGATGCTTTCGACGCATCCCTCGGGGGTACCTACCATAAAACATTCGCACGAGGGGTGATGGCTCCCCCTGCTGGAGTTAGAGTCGGAGAGTGACTCTGAATCTCCTGCGAGAAGGTCGTGAAAAGATTCCGCAACGCATTCGGTCATCTCCATGAACTCGTCGTTCATAGGGGATGGGTGCATGCGCTGCGCCACGAGGTGGCCAACAGTCCCCGCAGCATTACGCAAACCGAACGGGAACGCTGCCAGGGCGCCCCAGGGTGAGGTGTTCCGGGGAGAGCGGTTCCCCTCCGGCGAGTTGCATCATGGTGTTGGCGAAGGAGAAAGTAAGACAGCGCAGCTCCTCTCGGGATGGTCGGGGTCCTAGGAAGACATCGAGTTGGCGCTCTAGCCTCCCGTAGTCGAAGCCGAGGAGCCGGTCGCTCCCGGGGACATGGGCCTTCGGCGCGTGCAGCTGCACCTCAAGCGCCTCGATGATCGTGTCGAGGCCAGTGGAGTGGAGAGGCTGGACGGCGACGGGAGCCTACACCAACTCTCCCTCCGTCATGACGATGAAGTCCAGACTCCCAAAGCGCACGTGCATGCCTGGGACCCAGCTGACGCCATGACTAGCCATCCGAGGCCTGATGTGGATGTCGAGACGCGCAAAAATCCCCCTACCTGGCCCGTCAACTGTCAGTGTTTCGAATCACCGGCTGGTAAATTTCTAGTTTGCGCATCTGGCCTGGATGGTGTGCTCAGAGGACATAAGAATTATACTGGTTCGGGCAGAATGTCCCTACGTCAAGTCTGTTGCTGCTCATGTTACCGACACTGTCTGTAGTAGGGGTTATAGATGGGCGAGAGAGGGAGCGGATCCTAGGTCTCTGGTGGAAGGATTGAAAAATGCTAAGAGTTTGTTCCGCTGCTCAGCCGTGTGCCCCCCCTTTTCATGGGGCGTCCTGCTTCCCCTTTTATAGGTGAAGGGGAAGGCGTAGATTACAGAGAGAAAGAGAGAGAAAAAGAGAAAAGCAAGGAAGAAGAAGGCCTCCATAATCGTGGCGTCCTTCATCTTATTTATATGGATCCCGCCTGTCCTGTAGATGATGACGGGGACGGCTCCATGTTGTGGACCTGTTCGTCACTAGCGCTATACGCAGGCTTCTTCAGCCGGTCGCGGTGCTCCACTCCGTTTCGTCGGGCGGCGTGGTCAACAGGTACTCCTGTCAGAAGCCGTACGGGGATTAGGCGGCACGTCCGACACTGTTGGCCCACTTCCCTCCCGGTGTCAGAAGTTTGACCCTAGGGTCGTACTCTTAGACCCGTAGTGGTTGGAGGCGGTATGGATCCCTGTCGGGTGAGACGGAACCCGCGCCTGAGGGGCCTGGCGAGACGGAGCCCGCGCCCTCTGGGTCAGGCGAGACGGAGCCTGCTTCCGAGGGGTCTGGCGAGACGGGCCCGCACCCTCGGGGTCGGGCGAGATGGAGCCCGCGCGCTCAGGGTCGGGCGAGACCTTAAATACGTCTTGGACCATCCGGACGAATTAACGTTCGTGGCCATTAACTTCCTTGCTCCGGGTATCCCTAATATCGATACCCAACAAGACTCTCTATATCCTTCCTAATTTTTAGGAATAGAGATTTTGATAGATAAAATATCCTCCAACATGCTATTTAATTAAATCTCTAAATATAGACATCATCTATTTGAGATTTCTCACTAGCCAAATATGAAGAGCGAGGATGATGTCTAGAATGCGCACAAGGTATACAAAAGTTGTTGGAGGGAACAAATATATATAAAGTGATTTTTACTCAAATGACTGGTTAAATAGTAATTTAGAGATTTTTTTAGGACTCATCGGGGGAATTCCCCCACCTATTTTTGGATATTATATAAAAGAGTATTTTTAGAGATTAAATTTTAGAAAAGATCTTGGCAATGCTCTAACCAAAAAAATAAAATTGCTAAGCGATGATAAATCAAGTGCTTTGATTAGCTTATTATGGAGCATTTTCGTGGTCCTGCACTTCCCCGAGCCTGTAAGAGTTAGAGCAGTATGCCAAAGGATAATGGAGAGTCCAATCCCGAGATAAATTGAAACACATGATATAATTATTGGATAAATCTCCAACACGAGTACGAGTTGGAGTAATGCACGTTTAAGCACATTATAGAGTTCGTTTCCAAGACGAATGAGAATGCATGACACCATTTTCGACCTGAAAGTCGTTCCACTGGCTTCCAAGATGAACGGAAATGTATGACATGATTTTTAATATGGTAACCACACAATGAGACATGTGTCCCGTTGCAACGCACGGGCATGTCTGCTAGTATTAGTCATGAAGATTCAAAGACCCCAAACCTGAGATAGATAGATTAACCAGGACATCAGATCAGACGAGACAGGAATTAAACACACACATACACACTGCTGCTTTAATTTGCTGGAATTAATCATCAGACACACAAAGATTAAATTACAACACACTAGTCCTAGAACTTGCATTGCTACTTAATTAATCCGGCGATCGATCATCACCGTCATCCATTGATGAGGACAGAGGAGGCAGAAGAAGACGAGGACGGCCGGTGGTGGTGCTTGAGCGCCCTCTCGACGAGCATGTTGAGGAAGTTCATGAGCTGCACGGCGTGGCCGAGCGCCGTGAGCGGGTCGTCGGCGCGCGTCATGTTGGGCGCGAACACCATGGCCACGTTGCGCGTGCCCATCTTGTTGGCCTTCTCCTCTCGCGCCACGTCCGCCATGAGGTTCACCGCCCAGTCCAGCAGCGCTGCCCTGGGCGCCGGCAGCCTGGCGCGGCAGAGCCGCGCGCAGTCGTCCTCCGTCTGGCACCGCGTCACCTCCTCCGCCGGCAGCGCGTCCAGCAGACCGCCGGGGAGCTCCCGGAACCACGCCTGCATCATGTTGTCCCACGTCGTGCGCGCACGTCAGATAGGATATGCAATGGCTAGCTGAACGGCCGGACTACTACGGTACGGTACCTTGACGAGGCCTGCGATGCAGTGCACGTCGACGCCGTCCGGCACGACGCCGGAGTTGTTGAGCTGGTCCCTGGCGTACTGCTCCTGGGCGCCGTCGGCGGCGACCCTGAAGATGCCCTCCGCCCGGAGGCCGCCCTGGTCGTAGAGGCGGCGCTGCAGGTGGAGGAGCACGGTGGGGACGCTGTTGCCCCGGCCGTCGTAGGCGCACTGCATCGACTCCGTGGACACGCCGAACACCGTCTTGCTGGCGCTGGGCGCCCGGACGACGCCGTCCTCTACCGTCCCTAGGCCTAGGCCCGGCTGCTGCTGCTGCAACAGCTCCTCGGGCACGCCGCGGAAGCCGTGGAACCGGTCGAACGTCACGTGCGCCACGTGCCGCACGTCCGTCGGCCACCCGATCTCCATCTCGTCGCCGTCACCACGCGGCGGCCGCCCCGCGAGCACCCCTTGCTCCTCGTCGCCGCCGCCGCCGCTCTGCATCGTCGTCGTCATCGTGTTCGTCTCTGCAAGAATAATTGAAGCTGCGGCTAGCCCACGCAGAGATGAGATATCGATGGATCGGAGAGGGGAGTTGTGGATCGGACGTGATGATGGATATGATGCGAATGAGACGACGGAGATGAGACCCAGCTGGGACAGGGAGTGCACTGCAATGCAAGAAGAAGCAGTTGATGGAATGATGGGTCCGGGGGGAAGGAGACTTGATGGAGGGAGAGGGAGACCGGCTGACGACCGAGACGGAGGCGGTTGCTGATGGATCCATATGGCTGCCCTGTCATACGTGAGGCACTAGCTGCGTGCGCGTACATCCTGCAGCGACGTGAGCGGCACCACTACGCTAACTCACCGCTCCATCTTTTATCTATGCAATGCCTTGTCTTCTAATAAAAGATCTTCGTCGATGCGATCGATCGACATGTATGATCTACTCACCTACCTACCTAGTAGTGGCCCGTTGTATACTAGCAGTACACATTCAAGAACAACTAAAAAAAATATCTGTTGCAAGTTGTCGGATACTCGCTCCTATAGATATGTATGTTTGGTTAATTTGGTATGCTCCGTCGTATTTAAAATTTTCCATGCGCTTCTTGCAAACCCGGCCAGCAGTTAGACGCAGTGCCAACGGCTTTCAGGAAGATTATTGCCATGTTGTTGTTTTTTTAAAAAAAAATCCAAGCATGAGCTCAGTTTGACTTCATGAGTTCATGTTATTAGAAATGTAAGACAAGGTGTCTCCTTCCTCCTCTCAAAAATTCAAAATGCACTCGTACGTATCTATAGATTAACGTGGTGCGCTATTGACATGCTCCAATAACAGCGAGCTGAGCACAGTCACTGTTGGTTAGGTTACTTGAACCTGTTCACGCACAGGGTCTGTTCGTTGCAACTTCAGATACAGCTATGGTTGTAGCTTGCGAGTCACATGCTAGCAGCGGTGGATTCAGAAACGCGACAAGAGGGGGGCTAAATAATATATGGCTAAAAGTCTTACTAACCGTACATTAATAGACCCATATATAACAAAGAGTATATATCATAAAGAACATAATTGATGATATCCATTCAAAGGAGCAAGACATAGAACATTGTAGATACTAGATAAAAAATACCAAACGACTTCATAGTTTCATACCACTTACGCGTAGTGGATCTGCTGCCGCAGCTCCTACTAGTTGCGGTCGTAGAGATCTGCAGTAGAGGCTACAAGGGGCGTGCCGGCGAGCTACCTCAATGCTCCGGTGTGACAGTGTTCATTAGTCCTCTCCGTGCGTTAGGTCGGTGTAGCGGTCACACAGATGGCAAGGGTAGATTTGAGGAAAAGTGGGCAAAACCATATTAGGGGTTCTACCACTCGGCAACTCAAGGAGGGAGAGGAGGGGGAGACGTCCAAGCCGCCATGGGAAGGCGGATGAGGCCACTAAGGGGCTTCTTTGTTGGGGGCGGGGCTGGGAGGGTTGGGGTGGAGGTAGGGCTTGTGATGGGCTAATATGAGTTTTTATTTTTAAAAAAATTTGGACAACGCCTGGTGTCGGGTTCATAAACTCGGGGTCCCTAATGGGTCCGCTTCTCAGCAAAAGCTCGGTCCGGCAGACGGCATTACGAACGACACGCAACTCCTGGGCCGGCTCGGATACCTAACGACAGGTCGGAAGAGCGATTCAGTCTCCGACCGGAAGGCCTGGCCAAGGAGAGGACGACGCTCGCTTCCGACTCCGACCCGCTTCTCCGACGGGAAGGCCTGGCCAAGGAGGGGACGATGCTCGCTTTCGACTCCAACCCGCTTCTCTGACCGGAAGGCCTAGCCAAGGAAGGGACGACACTCGCTTTCGACTCCAACCCGCTTCTCCGACCGGAAGGCCTGGCCAAGGAGGGGACGACGCTCGCTTTCGACTCCAACCCGCTTCCCCGACCGGAAGGCCTGGCCAAGGAGGGGACGACGCTCGCTTTTGACTCCAACCCGCTTCTCCGATCGGAAGGCCTGGCCAAAGAGGGGACGACGTTCGCTTCCGACTCCGACCCGCTTCTCCGACCAGGAATACACCGAACCTCTGCTTACGGCTCTTCTCCGACCGGCGTAGTCGGAGCCAACTGGGAACGACCGGCCGGGGACGCCCGCTCAGTGAGGACCCAAGGAATCAGACGGAGCAGATAAGGTAAGGCGCTCAAGTCAAACTGCAATACCGAGGACCGTACCCTACACACCTGCAGAACAGTACTGTCAGGTCATGCTCGACAGGTACTTTGCAGCCTTCCAAACATGTCAGAACACAAACAGTGTTGTAGGGGCCGACATTTGTCCTACAGTATGGTAGGCGCCGACATTTGCCATACCAGAAGAACACGATGGAGCCTGCCACATGCATCTGGACGTCAACAGTATTGTAGGCGACGACAAACTGTCTTGTACCCGACGGCGTGGGCAACAAGACTAGGGCACTCTCTCTCTCTCTGGTAAGGCCGTCCCCTTCATCTATAAAAGGGGGCGCGCTCTCTCCCAACAAACAACGGTCATTCCGTCTCTCTCTCTACTAGGTTTAGACATTCTGAGCACTCGAACAGCTTCACAGCTCTAGAACTCTAAAGCTACACAGAGCATACGTTCCAATACTTAGCACACGTAGGAGCTCCCGTCACTCTTGGCCTTTCGGTCTAGAGTCCGATGAGACCTCTAACTCCCCCTATCTTAATCCCACTCGTTTGTAACCCCACAGCAAACTTCGAGCACCTGGACTCAGGAATAAAGTCACCAACTGACTCAAACTGGACGTAGGGCACGTTGCCTAAACCAGTATAAACCATATGTCATTGAGTGCTAGGCCACATCCGATCACAACGTACGGCAAAACGACAAATATTTACTTGTTGGTCACTTTTCACACCGACAGTTGGCGCCGTCCGTGGGGAGAACGTCGTACGTTCACTCTTTTGGTCATCGGATGGCCCACATTTCCGCCATCTTCGGCATGGCGGGCTCAAGCGATACGACTCACTTCAGCTCGCTGGAGTTTCTCATGCTCCCACCTGTTGGGATGTGAGTTCCTCCCATCTTCGAGCCGTCCCAGACCTTCCTCTTCGGAAGCCTAGACTTCGTCTCCAACCAGCTCGGCGTGCTTCGCCTTCTCGAGGAGGCACTTGTCCCGGCGCCCGTCGGAGGAGGAGCGCCCTCTATCGGCTCCGGGCCACCCGACGACCTCAACGATGAGACGCCTGCGCTTCGCTTCGAGCCCACGCTGGGCTCAAGCCCCACTGTGAGTAACGTACATATTGTTCTTTACTCGCTATTTAATATCTTCCGCCGACTCTCCGGAGGGACCCTGTTGTCCCCACCACAACCGCCATGCAATCGGTTCCCCTATGGCCTCACGTCCCCCGCGGACTCGTACGCACGGGGGCTTCAAAAGATGCGGACGTCGCCCCCTCTCACATCTGAATTCATGGGGATGGCGGGCTACGCTCCCGCCTCTTTCTACGACCTCATGGATGATGAGGTTGAAAGTGACGGCTCCAGCATCGGTGACGTCGTGGCACCTAGCCACCCTCTGTCCTGGGAGTGCGCTATGGTGGACGCTCCGGGATAGCCGTCGGTGGTAGCGGAGTCTCTACAGACTCACACCCCTCTAGACCCTCGTGCGGAGGCCCTCGCGCGTGCGCAGGAGCACGATGAGGAGCTACGACAAAGGCGGTAGAGCCAGCCGCCACCTGCGCTGGTGCGCTCGGCGCAGCACGCTGCGCCACACGCGCGTAACCCGGCGAGTGGCGCCCGGGTCATGCCCGCCAGGTCCAGCGCAACATCATGGACGGAGGGAACGATCTCCCGCAGTTCGCTCGGGCTGGCCAGAACATCACCGCTGCGACGATGCTTCTGCGTGGCCTTCCTGAGCCTATTGACCCCCAAGAGCAGGCGATCCACCGGAACCTTCGGGCGCTGGTGGAAACCGCCACCATCTAACAGGCGGAGAGCTCCGCGTCGTGATACCGACTCGCGGCCTTTTTCCCTACCTGGGGAATGGGGGCGCACCAGTCGAATTGCTCCATCCGCTCACCACTACAGTCGTCGGGCACGGAACAAGAGGCCGCAGCTGCGCCATGGCCTGACCCGGCGTCCGCTCCACACCGACCGCCTGTGCGCGAATGCCTCGGGCCGAACTGAGACGCTCGCAGCGTCATCAACAATCGGCGTCAAGCCCGGCGTGATGATGACGTCCATCAAGGGGCGGTGAGAGCAGGCGGCACGGGCCCTGGCCGGACCATCGAGGGGAGCGAAGAAACGCACCCCAGGCATGGTCGCCGACCGGACGACCGGAGTCCTAGCCCGGACGGCTCGGGACAGCGGGCCTTTGGCCGTCGCATCCAAAAGGCGCCGCTCCCACAGCGCTTCCGACCACCTATCAACATCGCCAAATACACCGGGGGAAGAAATCCCGGTATATGGCTCGAAGACTTCCGGCTCGCCTGCCGAGCTAGAGGAGTGGATGATGACCACTTCATCATTCAATACCTCCCCATTTGCGTGGGGGAGCATGTTCGAGCATGGCTTGAATTCCTCCCACCTGACAGCATCCGCGACTGGGCGGATCTCAAGAGGGTCTTCATCGGGAATTTTCAGGGGACGTACGTCCGTTCTGAGAATTCCTGGGACCTCAAGAGCTGCCAGCAGGAGCCCAACGAGTCCCTGTGGGATTATATCCGTAGGTTCTCAAAACGGTGCAACTCTCTTCCTGATGTCGTTGACGCGGACGTCATCAGCGCGTTCCTCTCCTGGACAACCTGTGAGTCCTTGATCTACAAGCTCGGCTGTCTGAAGCTCCGTACCACCCGCGACCTGCTCAACGTCGCCACGAACCACGCCTCCGGCGAGGAGGCGGTCGGAGCGGTCTTTAGTGGAGGCTGGGACAAGGGCAAGGCCAAGCGCGAGGACCAAGACGAGGACCCCTCCACAAAAAGGGGCAAAAAGAACAAGAAGGATCGGCGCCGATCGGCCAACTCCGCTTTGGTCGGCGCGGCCGATCGTGCGGGCAAGCAGTCCCAGCTGGGCCAGCCTGACCACTTCGACAAGCTCATGGAGAGCCCATGCACCAACCACACCTACCCCATCAAGCACCTTTATAAGGACTGCGAACTCCTCAAACGCTTTCTGCAATAGACCGGTGGACCGAAAGAAGGAAAGGATGAGGAGGCAGCGGCTAAGAAATGAGGTAGCGGTCAAGGAAGACAAGCAGGCAGAGAAAATAGAGATGCTATTATAGCCTAGCTATATTACTTGGCTACGCAACAAGCTTGACACCCTGTGTTAGCAAGCTCGATTCCATGGTGGCGTCAGCAGGATGAATGGAATGACTTCAAAATCCCAATTCAAATTTACTTGAAATTTGATCGAATCAAATTTTCCACGCACTGGACATTTGTGCTGTTGGCCTGTTGCATTGGGCCCCTGTCGTCATCTCTTCCACAGTTCCACTCGCCTCCTTCTGTTACGCCGCGCCGCGCCGCCCGTCCCACCCACCCACACTGGTCAGCCGGTGCCGTCCATGGCTCTGCTCCGCCTACACCTCCCGAGGCCTCCGCTGCCGGCCCGCCGCAACCCCGCCCTCCCTTCCGCTCTCTCCTCCTCCTCCACGTCGTGCTTGTGGCGCGGCCGTCTTCCCGCCTCGCGGCTCCTCTGCTCCAGCCACCCCGCCTCGCCCCCGGACGCCGCCTCCTCCGCCCCGCCCTCCATCGTCGCCGGCCTCCTCGACTACCTCAACGAGTCATGGACGCAGTTCCACGCCACAGGTTCGTCGGCAGGCCGCTCCCCTTCGACCCTTCCCTGTCCACTCGCCGTCCTCATGCCCGCCCACTGTTCGGCGATATGACTCCTTGCTAGCGCGCCACGCATTCCGCTACCGCCACGGTCTCACTTCCTTCTGCGTGCTTCCAGCTGAGGCCAAGAGACAGCTTCTCGACGCGGGCTTCAAGCTGCTCAGCGAGAGTGATGACTGGGACCTGCAGCCCGGCGGCCGCTACTTCTTCACGCGCAACATGTCCTGCTTGGTCGCCTTTGCCATTGGGGAAAAGTCAGTCACCCACCTCGCCCTCTCCTTACTCATATCATATCACGCGTGTCAATTGCCTGCCACTCCATATGAATGAATATGATATCAGCCCACACTGACATATAACCGCTGCAGGTACAGAGTTGGGAACGGTTTCAACATAATTGCAGCTCACACTGATAGTCCCTGTCTCAAGCTCAAACCCAGGTCTGCCACCATCAAATCTGGCCACCAGATGGTCAATGTGCAGACGTACGGAAGTGGGCTGTGGCATACATGGTTCGATAGAGATCTAACTTTGGCTGGGAGAGTCATCCTCAAGGCTACAGATGGTTCCTTTAAGCATAAGCTTGTCAAACTCACCAGGCCGCTGATACGTGTACCTACGCTGGCTATCCATCTTAACCGGTTAGTCCTCATGCTCATCTTGTTACTTCTCTATCTTGTATTTTTTTTTTGAAAGATCCGGTTTCCCGGCTTTGATTTATAATAAGAAGAAGGTAGCAAACAGCCGTTACATGCACGAGGGGCGCTACCATCCACAGCCTAGGCTGCGGAGTTTGAGGTTCTACATAGGCTTATTACATACTAAGAAGTTGTGCAACCGTTATAGGCCTAAGTTCGCCACCACCAGCTCCCAAACAACATTTAGTCCACCTTTCCTAAGAACTCATCACGAACCCAGGCATTCCTAACTCCACCAGTACGAGACCGGCCAGTGCTGACTACAATACATGGATCACAGATGCAACAACGCCGGTTTTGCATCTAAGCTTCAGGGAACCTCCATCTCAACCTCCTCCGTCTCCTGTGCTATAGCCGCTAGTGCTTCGGCTCTATCTTGCAAATCTTGTAATAATTACCAGGCATCCTGTATTATGCCTTGCCATTTCTCTTGCCAGTCTCAAACTCTCGATCCTCGTTTTTAATTTCGGTATCGCCAAAATTTTGGCCACCACCGAAATTACCGAATTTCGCGAAATTCAGCCGAAATTTCGCCGAATTTTTTTTTAGAGATTAGCACATGAAGTATGTTTTTTCTAAATTTTTTTTTATCTAAACAAATATTAGTATGATTTATGACTACATATCTATTAAATAGAAGAATATGCAATATAAACAATAGAAAAATATAAGATTAGAGTTATATAGCACATGTATTAGTGTATTAAAAAATTTCGGAGTTTTCTTTCGGCCACCACAGAAATTACCGAATTTCGTGAAATTCGGCCGAAATTTCGCCGAAATTTTGAACCCTGCTCTCGATAAGTGAATATTTCTGTAGTTCGTTGTCCCTTCTATGTCTTGTAGCATATATTTCTTTATCTCAGTTTTTGTTTTTCCTTTTAATGAAACAATTGCCTTGGCAGCATTGTTTCTGTTTTTTCCTTTAGCATGCACCTCAAGGTCTACCGTGTATACTATTTGGTGCTATCCTTACTGTTTAATATTTTCGGTATATTAAAAAAACACGGTCTTTCCCCTTATATGAATGAATTCCTTTTCATTGTAGCACAGTGAATACTGATGGGTTCAAGCCTAACCTAGAGACTCATCTTGTTCCACTTCTTGCAACAAAACATGAAGACACAACTACAAATTCTGATGACAAAAGCTCTCGTCTACAAAAGTCACCCACCATCCACTACTTTTGCAGGTAACTCCAATTTCTCATCTTTGCTTTTGGGATTCTCCCCATACTGTACGGAAATTTAGTTGGAGAATGCTACAGATGGCTTCAAGTTATATCTTTTACTATCTCTGTACTCCACAGATTCTCTCAGAGGAAATCGGTTGTGACTCAAATGAAATAATTGGTATGGAGTTGAATGTATGTGATACCCAGCCTAGTTGCCTTGGTGGGGGAAACAATGAGTTCATCTATTCTGGAAGACTGGATAATCTTGCTTCATGTTATTGTGCTCTCAGATCTCTCATGGACTCTTCCAAGATGGCAGAACAATTATCCAATGAGAAGGCCATAAGAATGGTTGCTATGTTCGATAATGAGGAGGTACGCTGTATAGACAAAAGTGCTGCTCTACATGAGCCATATCACATTAAATTTTACCCAGCTGGTGAAAAATATATGCTTACATTTCTGGATTCCCAATCCTCAGTTGGACCCTGTGTATGGTGTGGCTTATGCTTGATTTAACTGGCCATAAGCAAGAATCAGAACATTAGTATTCCAGGGAATGCTATTTTTCCTAACTGGGTAATTTGATATTCATGTTCATTCCTGCAATATTCAGGTGGGTTCAGATTCAATGCAAGGGGCTGGTGCACCGACCATGTTCCAGGCTATGAGACGAATCATCGATTCCTTGATGCATCAGTCGATGGGGGAGGGAGCTTTGGAACGTGCAATACATTCTTCATTCCTTGGTAAGATTTGAACATGTAGGGCTCTAGCTTAATTCTATCGATTAGTTGCTCTAGCTTAATTCTATCGACACTTCCAGTTTCGGCGGACATGGCTCACGCTCTGCACCCAAACTATGCCGAAAAGCATGAAGAGTGCCACAGACCAGAACTACAGAAGGGACTTGTCATCAAGCACAATGCTAACCAACGTTATGCCACAAGTGCTGTTACAGCTTTTCTCTTCAAAGAAATAGCAAGGATTCATAATCTTCCGGTTCAGGTGCTCTTTAGCTTTTTGTATCATGGTTACTCCTAGCACCTTTTTTATTGCAAAACCCCAGTTATATTTTAAGTTTGAACATATGGACACGCCTAGCAAACAGAGGCAATGTTGATACGATTTTCCCCTGTTTTATCATCTATTGCTTGTGATACACTGATACCCAGCTGATAACAATGTTGAATACTAGAGAAACAAGATGATAACATAATCACTTAGCCTTTTGCTTGATGGTTTTTGGAGCGATTTGACTGATGTAAATACCACACAGGAGTTTGTTGTAAGGAATGACATGGGATGTGGCTCCACCATTGGACCCATACTTGCTTCTGGTGTTGGCATACGGACTGTAGACTGTGGTATCCCTCAGCTTTCGATGCATAGGTATTGCTCAGCCATTTAACATTTCATAGAAACAGTTCTTTGCAATTGTATTTATAGACAATTTCTGAATCATATGTACACATATAAATGCATAATTAGTAATCTTAACCGAAAGAATAGTTTAGGTTGGCAAATATCTCATGCCATTGTTGCTTTTCTTTTAGACCTAGGAATTTTGCAGCACTGTATACTAACTTTACTATTTTGCATTTGTTGCAGTGTACGAGAAATGTGTGGTAAAGAAGACGTGGACACAACATACAGGCACTTCAAAGCTTTTTTCGAGATGTTTTCTGATATCGATAGGAAGTTAAATGTAGATTTTTAAGCCCAAATCCTTATCACTGTTCCATGTTTGAATAATTAATAATGGAAACTAAAACTATGATTGTCAAGCATAGTATCAATCTATCAAACGTAGATTCTGATTTTTTTAGTTGATAAGGAGGGTGATGAATTAAAAATCTCACTCTTGGTCACTTTTGTGGCGATTTAATGGATGGTGACGGGGATCACCTAAGTTGTGATTTTTCAAGACGTCTTAAAAAAAAAAAACAAAGCTACTCTCTGTCTTGAAATTTAAGGAATCCAGTTTTGTTCTAAGTCAAACTAACCTTATCCAAACATGCCAATGAACAACGGAAGCATCCTTTACTAGCATTTTGTCACAGAACAAGAGCATGGCAAAGCCGAGATCAACAACGAAATTACTGAAGCTGTTCGTGTCTTCGTGTGGTGTGGAGCAGAAGAAATCTGAAGCAGGGGCGGTAACAGAGACGGTGAGAAAGGCCCGAAGCACTCTGAAAAGGCCCAAGAGCAAACAACGAATGAAAATAGTCCACTGCTATAGAAAAATACGAAACAAAGACAAAGCCTTGCTACGGAAACAAAGAAAAATACGAAACACCGATCCAAATTCCAGCACGCCCAATTTTTGTCCAAATTTAGTTTGCACAAAGACGAAGCCTTGCTATGCACAACGAAGAAATTCACTCCGAGCATAGAAAAATACTACCTCGGGAAACATGTAACAAGGAAATAGAAAGTTGGAGCTATAGCTAGGCACGGATGCCACATTGCCACGCTAGGAGTAACCTCGGGAAAACGTGCATTTGCCCTCAGAATCCCAGGCATAAGAACAACATCAATGGCCTTGGTAACATTCTGATACAAGTTTCTAAACGGTACAGTAGCTCAAAAATGCACTTGGAAATGTTTATCATACATCCAGAATAAAGTTCACCTTTTCATTAAGGGGCTGTTCGGTTTTCTCGGAATGCACCAGGAACAATTCCAGCTCCTCAAGATTAGTACAAATTATTGAATCATAACTGGAGAGGTAAAAGCTAAAGGAACAGCCAATTTGAGATTATCTAGTAGTCTGGTGTTACACTAGATGATCATGGATGCAACCAGAATACATGGCGCAGCAAAATTGTCTAAAATCACAACCGATTTGTGGAGAATGAAAGTCTGCAAGCTAGTGAAAGTGATTAACAATTATCAGCATCCTGCAGATCTGGGACGGCACTATCGCTGCATCCTTATTCTTGAATTGCCTCAGCTGAATCAACAACAAAGTAGACTGCAGAAACACAGTTCGCCACAATTGCTCACAAGATGACAAACTCCCAGGTAGATGCTGCTCCTGGATAAGTGATCAATCTCTATCCTTTCTTTTACCAGTTATCGACTCATCCTTATTTTCTGCGAGCCTCTGCTGCACCAAGTTAGATGCCTCAGTTGGAGGAATTTCGTGGACAACTCCATTAGTTGTGGGAACTTCACCATGTTCTTTGCACGAACCTCCCCTGCCAATACAAAGCCAAATCCTACCTCTCTCATCCCCAGACTTCTCTTCCATCGGAATGTGCCAAGATCCCACTTCTGACTCCTGCAATGAAGACGAAATGAGCAACAGCAGATACTAAACTCTAGAAAACACCTGGAAATAGACTACTTACTTGAATCTCTGAAGAATAAGGGGGTGGCATCACAAGCACCGCTTTTCCTTTATTAAAGGTGTACTTTACCTGCGCAATTGTAACAGAGTTTAGCAAATTAGCAAATAACAATTAACAGTAAAAGACAAAATCCAATGCATGGAGCAGGTTAAGAGAGAATTAATTACACTCTTTAGTTCAAACTATGTAGTAGTATTCTAAGCTTCTAGAACCAGGCTTTCTGTGTAATAACCATGCACAGAGAAGTAGCACTATATGATCGGTTTTGCAGAGCTCACCCGATGACGTTGCTTCCACTTTGGAAAAAAGGGCGACCCTAGAAGCTCGAATATGTGATCTCTCATTTCATCATTAGTCACAAGCAAACAATTTAGTTTGATTGCTGCATATAGCCAATACCTGCATGTTTGCATCTCGTATAATTAGAAACACCCAGGACGAAACATAACAATGAAGAAAAGTGAATAATCAACAAACTATGTGATTATAGATGTTTACGATCTCTGCAGAATTACAGCATAAACAGGAAACACCTCCCAGTTTACTAGAAAAGGTGGCCGCAAGGTCTTTCCATTGTCTTTGAGAATTGAGCATAAACAGTAAGTTCAGATATACTGAAGGCTAGAAACTGAGCATTACCAGTCATCATTTGACCCACTTGGTGAAGTATACAAAGCCCCATTTGTTCTCCAAGTCTCAATCAAATGTCTATTAGATGCATTTTCCATAAGCTTGGAAATTCGTTTATTATGTAGTATGATAAGTGGCCATTTCCCATGATATCTATCCCGTACCTCTGTTATAACGGCATCCAGCTGCTCTATATTAAGCATGAGCAGTTGAACAATAATTAGCACATATTGCTTAATTATCAACATGAACATGTCAAAATTCAGTGTAAAGTGGTGCACAGACCTGAGTCAAACTGAAACCGCCCTCTGCAAAATTTTGTTGATACAGTGCAATATTCGCACCATCGACTATAGCTTGATATTCTTTATTTGCTTCCAACCACTCCTATAACAGTCACACTCAACATGTGAGATTATGTTCACAAATGGATATTGTTTCTAATACAGGGAGCAAACTAATAAATAAAGTTCTTTAAGCAAGGTCTCTAGCCATAGTTACAAGTTACAACAGAAGTTATAAGTGACAGCTTAGTTTAGTTACTAGGATCTAGGATCAGCTACATGAACAAGCAGTTAGAAACAATCACATTACACACTCAAAGCACACATCAGATTACCATTAGTAGTTAGCCTAAAAGATAGCAGAACACATCATCTCCCAGTCCATTTTCCCCATACTATTAATTCTCTGTGATTTAGCAAAAGAATAATCAACTATAGCTGGCAGTAAAATAACCAGAACGCCAACCTTAGCCATGGTGCCATATAAAGTTGAGAGATAAGTAATCACAGCAATGGGAGAGAGAGAGAGGGCACCTGAAATCGGCTGAAATTTGTTTTAGTCTCCCTCTCGAGGGCCAAACCAGCAACAGAATCAGCAAACCTCTGTGTCTCCTCCATGTCAATGTCAATGCAAGCGAGGCGATATCTACACCCCCCACACTGATCATCAGCCCCAACTCTCACCCGCTGCACCGTCCAAGGGCCGATTCCAAGCCACCCAAGGCGGTGGCAGCCACCACCGTTGGCCACAATGGCGTCCTTCACCTGAGCGGCATTCCATTCAGACTTGCCGGCCATGGCTGCCTTGTCGCTCCTGAACCAGGCCTCCACAACTCCTGCAGTCTCCTCGCTGACGCAGTCCACGATTTGCCTCAGCTTATGCATATACTCATACACCTTGTCCGCGTCCCCGGCTCTGGAGCTGACATCCAGGAGAGCGGCAAGCTCGGGCTCCTCAGGCGAGACGCCAGAGGCCGTCATGTGAGCCTCAACAGCGTAGGCCTTGGCGGCCTCCCCGGCACGCCGAAACGCCGCGAGGACGGGGCCGTAGGAGCGGAGACGCGGGGAGAGGCCGTACTTGTCCTTCATGGTGGCCACGAGCTCGAACGCCTCGTCGGCGGCCGACGATCCGGGGTCGTCGGCGGCGGCGGTGACGCGCGCGAGGGAGGTGATGGTGGCCTCGGAGGGCGGCGCCCCGGCCTGGAGCATGTGGTCGAAGACGCGGCGCGCGTCGGCGGCGGCGGCGGGGCCGGGGAAGGAGGAGAGGTCGGCAGCGGCGAGAAGGTGCAGGAGCTGGTTGTACTGGTGAGCGGCGAGGCGGAGAGGGGCGTCGGCATCGGCGTCGGAGACAGCGGCGTCGAAGGCGGCCATGGCGGCGGCCGCGTCCCCACGGCGGGTGCAGTCGGTGAGGGTGCGGCAGAGGTCGGCGTTGGGGCCCTTGGAGCCCCGCCGTGGCCGGCGGCGCGTGGTCGCCGTGGAAGCCATGGGGGTGACGGAGACGGCGACGCGGCGGCGGCGGCGGCTGGGCGAGGGTTGAGGAAGAGCCCTAACAAACGGCGGGAATTTAGGGGCGGTTAGCGGCTGCCACCGGCCCATAAGCTGCTTCAGCCCATGGTGGAGGTGGACAGCAAGCCACATGCCCAGTCAGGAGGATTAGTCCCGTATCGCCAGTTTAGTGTGAAGACGCCGTCCTTATAAACGAACGCGGCCTCAGATCACTCCGCGTCACAGGATGAAGTGAGCGGGCCTTAACTAGCCCTGGAAAGTCCCCGGGCCCTTTGCGCAGCGATGCGCCCACGGAGACGTGGACGGCCCACGAGCTGGCTCTCCCTGCTTCGGTGGGGGGCTGAGACACGTGTGGAGCCCAATTCAGGGAGCCGGCTCTGGGTCAAATGGTTAACGTTTTCCAGTTATTCACTTGGTCCTCTTGGACTAACAGAACGGGGCTTACACTCCTGTGGCGCACCTTTTTTTTTGGGTGAGTTCCCTCTTCTCCTAATTCATCATATCATAACAAGGAAGTATTTAATGATGAATACCACTTGAGCCATTTGAGCCATGTAACTCCGACAGCTGCAATGGGTATGGTTAATCAAATCCCTTGCACTTAATAGGTAGGAAAACAAACTCCTTTGTCTCAACGTCTGAAACAATTAATAATGATCGGAAATGCTACAGGGCGTCCGTCCGGACACCCTTCGTGGGTCTGCATATCAGTATATCACCCCAATAGACTCCTGCTGTGCGCCGCTCGTTTTTTTTATTACGGTATATCTGCGCAACTTCCGTATCTTCCGCTGCGCTGGTTGGATAAGGAAAGGAGAAGGAGACGAGAGACCTGCTCCGCTATACTCCGTGCGTCGACGGTCACCTCGCCTGCTCCTGCTCCGTCGGTCGCCCCGCTGCTCCTGCTCCTGCTCCACCGTGTCGCCCCGCTGCTTCCTGCTGCTACTTCTGCTCTATGGACCGTTTCGCTGGACGGTGCAAGCACCGCCGCGCCCACGGGTGGCGACTGCTCCCTCGGCCGCTAGCTAGCCAGTGAGGCCGCCTCGCAAGGAGAAGCGTCGGGCCCTCCGACCTCACCTCCTGCTACAGCTGCGGCGCCCCGATGCAGACGGCGGAGGAGGCTGCACCGAGATACGATGCATGTTGCAAGCATACATTTCAAATATTTTAGAGGTATGTTGCAAGCATTTAATAAGTATGTTGCAAAAGTAGATCGGGATGTTGCACATGTTACAATGGGCTATACATGTATGTTTTAAGTATATGTTCCAGATGTTTCATCCGTTTCATATGTATGTTGCAAATGTTTTATTTGGATGTTGTATATATATGCAAGTGTTTTAGGTGTTTTTATACGTATATTGAAAGTGTTTCATCTTGATGTTTGCATATGTTTGCAATGGCTACATACGTGTTTTCAAGTTTTTTGGTGTTTTTTTAAGTGTTTCGGATGTATGCTGTAGTGTTTTATCTGAATGTTGCAAAAGTAGATCGAGTGTTGCACATGTTGCAATACGCGTGGGAAGGAAGAGGGCGCGAGTGGTCCCTGCGAGCGGTCTGGCAGCGCGGGCCCCGTGTGGGCGCGCGAAATGCAGGCTCGGGCGGGGATGTGCTGGCCCGAGCGCGGCAAACGGGGTGCGGCGCGGGCGTCCGTCCGGACGTCCAGGCGCTAGCTCTGCCGATTAATGATTAATAGTACTTGAGATAGTGCACAAATGAGCATAGATTTTCACTTGAAGAAGAAAACATAACTTGCAAAAAGCTAAATTGAAGAACAAGGGAAAACGTAACCTATGTTATTAGGAGACTGTTCCCCTATAATGCAAAGCACCAGCATCTGATTAACTGGCAAACAAAATCGACTGTAATTTTGATCAATGTGTAAATCGTTAAAGGATGATAGTTGAGACAGTTGTGATAAAACTGAAAACTTCTGTGTTTGAAGAAAACATATACTTTAACATATGTACGATTATTATTTATATATATTATTCCCATAATATAAGCGCGTCGTGCGTGTGACGGTGCTCGCTGCATCGATGGCTATGCGCTTAATTAATAGGCCCTGGCAGAGGCGAGCATGGAGATACCGTCCCGGCGGTCGTCGCCGAACCTTGCGACGGCGCAGTCGGTGGCGAAGATGTCCGAGGAGAGGTACTCGGCCGCGCCGCCCATGACAGGAATCCTGGACTTCACGCTGAGCCGGCTGACGTAGTCGGAGCGGTACGTCTGCCCGAGCACGCCGTGCACGTCGTCGGTGAGGTCGAGGAACCTGAACCCCAGGTCCAGGTGCGCGAGGCAGTCGTCCTCCGTCACGCCGTAGCCGTGGACGCGGGAGTCCTCCTCACCGACGGGCACGACGTTGGCCACGACGTCGAGCGTCCCCTCGAGGCGCACTCTCACGCCGTTGCTCGCGGCCGTCCTCGTGACGGTGAGCGCAGGCGCGGCGGCGGACCGCCACGCGGCGCCGGTGTGCGCCGGGATGGCGACGCGCTCGCCGTCGAACGCCAGGTCGAGGCGGTCGACGTCGCTGCTCCACCTGGCGGTCTTGTGGGCGCCCACGTAGAGGCGGTGGTGCGCGAAGCGGATGCCGAGCGCCTGGATCCAGGTGAAGTCGCGGCTCATGGCGGGGTCGCGCCTCCCGATGAAGTGCGCGTTGATATGGAGGCCAGCGTCGGTGAAGACGCAGAAGTCCTGGTCCTTGCTGCCGTGGAAGTAGAAGGTGTTGCCGTCGCCGCCCGTGAACCGCGGGTCGTCGCACGACATGCCGGGGTAGAACATTGGAAGCAAAGAGCTTAGTTGGACTTTTGCATTGGACGGCGGCGGGCGCGGCATTCAGAGTGCGATAGTGTAGTGTGTACGTACTGCAGTAGGTCTTGCAGCCGGGGCAGACGACGATGCACTGGTTGGGGCAGCGGGACTCGCACTTGGTCATGCACCCTGGCTGCTTCGTCTTGGGGTCCGGGCACGTCAGCTGCTGGTTCCTCTTGTACCCTCCCATTCCCTGGGTGAGCACGCGGTAGTTGTATGGCAGCGGGCGCAGGCCGCCGTCGCCGCCATCACCGCCACCAGAGCAGCAGCGAGCAGCTGCAGAAGCACACACGCATCAGGGTAGCCATTGCCGACGATTCCGGAGGAGGGAGGTAGGCAGGGCTTTGGTTGCTGTATTTATGCAGCTGCCGGCCGGCCAGATAACAAAAGCCGCGGGTCAACTGGTCGAGGCCGTATATAGAAATGGAGGGAGTCCCGGCGGATCGGTCGATCGATCGGCGAACGCCGCCGGGTGGTAAGCGCGCGCGGGCGCGGCGACGTGCACAAGCGAACGCGTGGCGCACAGCTGCCACTGCGAGACGACGTCGACGCGGCATGCAGGAACGAACCGGACACTGCCAGCAGGTTCTTTGCCGAGTCCGAAGCCGCCGCCGCGCGCCCGTTGTTGGTCGGTCGATCTATTCCTTCACTTCACAGGTGACAGGCCACCGGGGCTTGCCCCCAAAAATAGGAGACGAAGCCTGCGTGTATAGTGTTGAAATGACGTCATTTCACGGCGAATTGGCGATCACGCAAAGCGCGGCGACGCCAATTGGGCTCAAAAGTCAAAGCGCGTGCATTTTATGAAGCAAGACACAGAGACTCACCCTAGATTTGTCACTGGATTTTCTTTTGTGTGTGTTTTCGCCGATGAAACATACTATTGGCAAATCTTGGATGATCATTACATTTTCCAACTTAGGAGGAAATCCCTTTCTTAACTTATGCTCGCTCACAAACTTAGAGCCCGTTTGGAGGGGTTTTTCCTGGCTCCGGCTCCGGCACTGTAGCACTACTGTGGCGGAGCCGGGAGAAGCTCCAAATGTGCTGCTCCTCCGACTCCTCTTATTTCTAGTTCATTTTTAAAGGAGCTAGAGCCGTTTTTTATCATGCTACAGTAAAAAAACAGTGTTGTGCAGTATTTTAGGAGTAGGAGCCAGAGCACCAAAAGCCACACCAAACACGGCCTTATTCAATAATGAAGCGATTAGTGTGTGGGTGGTGTTATAGTACTCTATCCCCGTTGGACCCACATACGACGTCGCAGTAGTTTACTCTCTTTGTCAAAAAGAAAAAGTGTCGCGTCAGGTCAAACGATCTATATATATATATATATATATATATATATATATATATATATATATATATATATATATATATACACGCGCGCGCGCGCGCGAAAGCAACGTGCGGTGTTGCCGCGCGGCCACCTGGAACCAGTTGTGCAGGAGCTGAACCTAGTGTTGATCTTTTACTTTGAGGATAAGTAGCAGAACTGTACGAGGTCTTTTAATATTTTAAATATATTATGTTAGTTGTAAAAGAAATTTTCATATAAAGTCTAGAATCTCCAGGTTTCATATAGAAATTTTGAAAATGGGCAATATCGGTTATAGACGTGGTTATTTAAGACTAACAACATATGGCTGAATTTTAACTGGTGACAATATTATACAGATGCCAATTGAGATCTGGAGTATGAATATCTGAAAGTAAATGAAAAGAATACTTCTATACGTGAAATGGATAAAGACAGAAAAACTAAATCGCTAATATTGAACATTTGAAGTTGCACTAATTCATATGATATTATATATCTACTGCATAGATCTAGTCATGAGAAACTTAACAAAACTTAATTTGATCTACATGAGAAACTCAACAAAACTTAATTTTTCATTTTGTGATTTTTTTCTGTGATTTTGTATAAGATTATTTACGCCGTTGTAGCTTAAGGGACAAGATGATCTCAACGCGCTTGTTGAGAGCAACATCAAAAGCATCTCTGATCAGCTAACTGTTATGAAATCCCACTTCAACAAACTGGATGAGATGTCCTCAACCCTTTCAATCTTGCCGAAACGAATAGAAAAAAGATTTAAAGCAACAGCAGAGTGACGACATCTTCAGAATTTTTAGAAAAGACATGGAGGTAGCTCTTGGGTTTCTTATGCTATGATCAGCCTCTAATTCGATATGAATCTGTTAGTTACATTTGTCTTTTAGTTTTTTGTGATGGCTGGCATGTGCGCACAAATAATTATCTTACCAATTTGCTAGTTTATGAGTTTCCCCGTCGTCGCAGTAGATGTCAGTTCGGT